GTGCTCATTCAATTTTTTTCCCCCCTCCATCTTAAACTCTGCTCAAATCTCTTAGCACGCTTTTAGTATGCACACACCTGGCAAAGTATGAAACAAGTTCACACAAAGCTGCCCAGGTCTGAAGATGCATTTAGATGCAGAGACTGTAACTCCAATTAATTGTAATAGCAGTTTTTTTACATTTAGGCTTTAAAAACAACTGATGTGGAAGAACGAATCAGCATTGCTGATGTGTGTTTTTATAGAGAATGATCTGGATGTGTTGAAACCAGACCATAAAATCCAGAGGTTGTGCTGTAAAGCTGTCATTTATTGGTATGTTTGATTGTAATTGTTAAGTAATTTTAGGGACGGAAAATCTGCATTCAGCTTGAGCTGTTAGCTGTTAAAGATTTGTGTGTGTGTGTGTGTAACTAACCACAGAAATGTACAAACGGCCGCCTCGATGGAGAAGCTTAGGGATGGAAATGACCTGTGGTATTTTCTGGTAAAAACAGTTTGAACCCACATTAATAAATGCAAACACATAAAGATGATCTAAAAACAACTCTATGTAGGGTGTAGTTTGGAAATGGTACAGCGCTATCCGCGTGCGTCTTTGCATGTGAGTTGGAAGGTTGTGTTTTAGAGCGTTGTGTGTGTTAGCACAGCCACATCTGGAAACAATAGAGCTGTAGATGCTGTCACTTTCCCTTTACCTCAGGCTTTTGAGCGCGCTCTTAAACAAACACTCAATTCACTCTGAAAATTACAGGAAGGCAACTGGAGCTGCACAGTTACATATTTGGATGCTTTACCTCATCTTCTCTACTTACACACACAATCACATAGACATTCATACACACATGCACCCACATTTATGAATATGCAAAGATAAAAAATTATACCTGTACATCCTAACTGTTATTAAGCCTCTCTGCAGAATATCTAACTGAATTTTTAGCAAGTTTAATCTGCGCAGAAATTGTAATGTTAATGGAGACAGAGTAAAGCTTGTGCAGTATCAAAAATATATTTCAATAGCAAATCTGAAATTCAGCATTTCAGGTGTGTACTTGGAGTTTTCTAATCACATTCAAAGGCATGTTAAATAAACTGACATTTTAGAACAGATATATCTTTAGAGTATAACCGGTCAACAATAGTTTTGGTGTAGCTTACTTGCAGCAAGAGAGTCATATGATTTCTGAATGGCTTCTCAAATCAATCCACATAGATCCCTCCGGTCTGTAGAAACATGTGTTCCCAGGAACTGAAGTAAACTAGTTGAGGTCAGGATTTATACGTATCTTTTGCTCCTCAGCTCTGAGAGTCCCAGAACAACTAATATATGCAGAAACTGTGAGTTCCTGTAAATCAGGACTGAGAAGTTTTTCATTTCCAGCTTTGTTCAAACAATCTTTATATATTTTATATATTTTTTCATATATTTTTTGGTTTATCCCTCTAATATTTGTATTTTCCCATAATCAATTTAACAAAAGATACTTTTATATTTATGTTTTATCATTTTTATTTTGTCCTTCCTTTGTCCTATATAGCACTTTGGATTTCCTTGTGCATAAAATTAAACTAGAATAATTACAAACATGAAATTCTCCTAAATGGTTGGATGCATGTATGTTTGCACATTTTGTCTCCGTTTTCAATGACTGTCAGGCTGCTTTGTGTTACACAAGCTCTCATTCACAGCATAAGAAATGGATAAAGATTTTTTTCATTATTTAAATACCAATGAAATGTTGGGTAAAGATTGAAAATTTAAGTGGTATGACCTGAAAGTTTACAGTAAGGGAGGATTTGGAAATCCAATATGGCTACCAAGACATTATTTCCTGAAAAGCTTAATGGAAATCTTTATGGATTCATTTTTTAACAGGACTTGACATCTGATAAGACTGCAAAGACTGCCAGTACCTGATATCATTCAGGGTGATCTACTCCATGCCATGCTGCAATAATATATAATAGTACAAAAAGAGCAGGTCCTGAGTACATATATTGCACAAAAATAATAATAGTCTGTAAAGTGTCTTGAGATGATGTGTTTGGAATTGGTGCTGTATAAAGAAGCTGAATTGAAAAACAATTTGAGCTATCGTTTCTGTGTTAAAACTAGTTATTTCTAAATTAAAGCATTTTTTACAAACAGAAAATAGGTGTATTTAAGGATTTGTGTCTTGGTAGCCTTGTTAAACTGCTTTATGAGGTGTCAAACGTAATTTTTTTTCTAAGACAAGAGGTGGCAGCATTGTTTAACCCAGATGGTGAAATAAGTCCAACAAATGTGCCAAACATAAATCCCGTCTCTAATTCATGTACTTGTTGTGCATACATGCCTAAGGGTGGCTTTTAGGAGGCTAAGAGGTCTCACCTTAAATCTTGACCTTTCCTTTCCCAAGACACACAAAATAACATCCATAATAAGAACATTTAACATCTCAAAATTATCCGTCTTAATTATTTAATATAGAATTTCCTGTTTGCTTTCGAGCATTTATGATTTAACATCAAAACTCACATGTAAAGCATAGACAAGTTAGAAACCAAAAACTTTTTATTCATTTTCTTCTGATACAAAAGTTTTTTTTTTTAAATTAACATTTTTTTTGTGTCACATTTTCTTACAATGATAAATTAGCATTTTATAATACATCAATGACATTTCCAAGAACATGAGTTTTCAACAAAACAGGGAGCAGTTTCAAACCTTAAAGGCAATTATCTGGACTGGCTGAGCTCTGTGGTGATTCAGGAGTTGGTTTCTAAAAGGATTTACAAATCTGCACTACCCGGGGGTTAAAGTTTAGTGGGGGGGCTGGGTTTAAGGCACATTCAATGACTGTTTAGAAATGCCACTTTAAGCTCAGAGCAGTCATAAGAATAAATGGGGCTGCTTCCAAAAAACAGTTTAAGAGGAAAACTACATTAGCTCAGAGGGGAGGTGGTCTCAGGTTAATTTAATTCACTTTAAGTGAATCTAATGTTTGTTTGACTTTGGAAATTTAATAAGTGTCCTGAGGTATGCTGGTCCGACGATGCTGGTCTGTTTAAACCGTATCAGATTCACCACGATTGTTCCTGAATGTATCTTTGGAGCAAAAAAGGCCTATTTTTTCTTTTACCAGAGGCTATTAAGGCACCATCTGGACATCAACATCTTTTTATAACCTCTACTTAGGGTATAATCAGAATAAATGGATGCAAAATTACTAAATGTACTGCCAGGCAGGTAAGAAGAGACAGTTTCAGCAGCATCTAAAGGACACAATCCTTTAAAATCATGAATTTTGTAATCCAATGGAGGATTGAACACTTTTTTTTTTCACAATTTGCAAACGTATAAAAAATAACTTTTTCACAGAGGACTTCTGATTGTCTGATAAAGTGAGTTGTGACATATAAATGTCAATAAGACATATTGGAAGGCAAAATAACATTAGGAGGGGGAGCATTTACTCATATAGTGTGCTACCTCTGTGACGTCAGTAATAAAATAAAATTAAATAAGTTGATAAAAAGTAAGCTTATTGTTGAAGAAGAGGGCTATTGAATCGGTTGCACCATAATTGATGTATCTGTAAGGAACAGCAGTGTCAATCTAGCCTTACAATGGATGGCCTCTAAAAAAATGAGTTCATATTCAAAACTTTAGTAAAACTACTCTTTCATACACAAAAGATTATTCTCTGACTGTTTCTTGATGATGCCCGATGTGTATTTTGGCAGCTAAATGTCCCATAACGTTTTTGTTTGATAACCTCCCTGAGATCCAATGTTTAGAAAAGGGCAGGGTTAATTATTAAATTTCCTGAAATGCATGGTGACCCAAGAGCATAAGGAGTGTAGGGTTTGCAGGAAGACTAAACATCTAATTAGAAGCTAGCTTAGCTTCTCACAGACTTCCTAAAACAAACACAGGCTTATTTCTCTGCAATTTAAGCATGAAAAGAAAGAAAAGAAAACAAGAAGAAAAGAAAAAAAAAGCCAAAGTAGATCAATCAGAATTGTTATTTTACTGCATTTGTGGGAATCTTTAGATCATTTTGAAGTAAATGCTAAAACTTTCCAAAACGAAACATGGATAAAAGTTTAGTTCAGAATATTTTTTAAGCAAGGTTCTATTAAAAACATTTAGGCAACTATTATCTGCCCTGTATGGATAGGCTTCTTGTTCTTTTCTGCTTGCTTAGACCATGTAATTTTAGGCTAGCCTGTTGAACCAAACCATGCAAGAGCCTCAAAATGGGAGTTTATTGAAATCCTCTCTGATAAATCTTAGACTACTGAGATTTGCAATTGGAGTTTCTTCACTTGAACCAACTCGATGGGTTTTAGATTAGATTAAGTTTTCCAGATTAGCAGTTAGCTTCTGCCTCCTAAACCAGCTAAATAAAACATAGATCTAAGAGGCTGTTTATAGGCGTAGCTTAAAACCAGCTTTAACCTTTTGGTTTAAAAAGCAATCTGAACTACTCCTTTAAAATGCTAAATACACATAACTTTGAATTCTGAGTTTCTTTTTAGACCTTCTACTTTGGAGCTCACATTTCACAATCATTTTTAGTGCACTATTGAAGCATAGAGCCTCTTTCTGATCAGTTCAAGGTAAAAAAAATAATAAAATAAACTTGTACTCATATACTTTAAAACATACAATCTGACAGATGCACAATGTTCATCTGTCCATGAGTGGTAGATTGAATGAAGTATGTTGAGATATCACATTTAGTGTGGTATTCTTTCGTTTGATTGAACTGCAGATACATTTTTCAGCTGTTGTCAAATATCTCAGGGAAACCAAATATTTCTATATCTGCTCCAGTGTTATAATATAAAATTTTGAAAGCCCTTTAAAAGTCACAATGGCACACAGCTTTACTATATTCAGCAGGGTGAGTCTGTTCTGCTGAGCAGTTAAGAAAAAGAGAAACAGAGAGGTAGAACCAGAGCTTTTATGTGCTTCTTTTCTTCCATTCGGTATCTCTTTTTCAGTTGAATATTTTTTCCCAACTCTCTATGCAACAGTGATCTAATGAGAGGTAGGGAGGCTACTCTTGCAACAAAATGTATGACTCAGTCTTCTTATTTTCTCCTTCATAGCTCCTATTTGAGGCAGGGAGTTCATGCGATGGCATATCCAGTGGCTTCTTTGAAAAGGTCTGGCTATGATCCTCTGTCCCCTTCCTAACCCGCCCGCTGACTTTCTTCGTCCTTCATTTAGCAGGGCAAGTGTCTGTATGAGGAGAAACGATGCAGAATGTATTTCCTGTCCGTGTTCCCCATTTCCTCACACCACTGTCTCGTTGCCTTTCCCTGGTTTGATCCAGCTCTCACCCGGCGCCCTCTTGCCGACTCGGCTCGCCCGGCTGTCCCTCAGCAGCCGGGCAGAGCAGCGCTGCCAGGTGTGGAGGGTTTTCGCGGACCATATCCACATCCCTGACGTGATGCCCACCAGCAGCGACATGAAGATCCGAAGCATCTCCGATGCTACGTATGAGTCCCTGGGGTTGGTCTTGAACTCCTCCCAGTTAGAGAGCTGGTAGAGGTAACAGCCAATGACTGTGGAAGCAGGAACGGTATAAAGAACAGAGAACACGCCGATCTTCACCATTAGACGCTCCAGTTTGTCGGTTTTGGCTCCATCCTTCTGCAGATTAGATCGGATCTTGAAAAGAGCCACCAGGCCTGCGCAGATGAACAATGTCCCTGAGAGAGAAGAAAAGAAAAGCCTCAAGTAAAGTTGATAAAAGACCCAAATTAATTTTCTTTCCAGCACTGTACCTACCTATAAGAAGGTATGTCGCTAATGGTGCAACCACAAAGCCTGTGAGGGCCTCTTGTTGCTGGTTACCGACGTAACACAGCCCAGTGAGGTCATCAGCGTCCACCAGCCTCATTATTAAGATAACAATGGTTTTAACAGCTGGGATGGCCCAGGCCGCGATGTGGAAGTAGGAGCTGTGCATTTCAATCGCCTCATGGCCCCATTTCAACCCAGCTGCCAAAAACCAGGTGAGGGTTAGGATCACCCACCTGGAAGAAAAGGGGAGGGGATCAGACATCAACTGAAAGCAACAGATTCTTTTTTTTTTTTTTTACAAAACTACTCAGTGATCCTGTTTGGTTTATATTCCACCTTTTAGAGTTTTTTTCCCACTTAAATCAATGTTTACTGTTAATGACAATTTTCAATTTCTGCTGCTGTTCTTTGCACATGAAGCTAAAGGAAACATTATTCTTGTAATAGGTGACCTTAATGAACTATCATTAAGATGCAGAGAGATGTCCCATAATGACTGGAACTGTTCAATTTTCAGCTTGTAAAACTCCATCTGGTGACTGTTGGATGAAAGTTTTATACGTTTCTTTTTTATTTCTAGACCAGCCAACAAACTTTCTCCAAGAACGACAGGACTGAGCTGTGAACAGCAGTCTTTATTGTGGCTGACATTACTGAGGTGTTTTGGTGTGTGCAGGTCTGGCCACTGCTCTCTAGCTATTTATGTCACAAAGAGCCAAGTTTGTACTTTTGGGCTATTATTAAATTAGGTTTATCTAACTTGGAACTGAGTACAGCAAATATCAGGGAGGCGTCATGTACTTGTACTTGTTTTTATCTTTATTGCTTCCAATCTCCGGTTTGATGCAAAACATGCTCCATTTGAAAAAAATCTATTGCAGCCTTTTAGAAATAAATCTACATTGTCAAAGGAAAGCACACAGTGATGGCTATTTACAGTTAATAATGCTGATGGGCTAAAGTTTAAAATAATCTACTGAAAACAGTTGGAAATGGGAACTCCACATGCAGTCTTCTTTTTTTTTTTTTTACACATTAAATACCCGTTTTATAGAATATAGTCTCCCCCACACGTAGTGTGATATCACTACTGCCTGTAATATAAATATAAAAGGCATATGGTAAAAAAGGCTTGAAGGAAATACTTTGCTTTATAACATGTAACAACTAAACCACAGCACTTTCTGTTCATTCATACGTTTTAGGAGCAAATCAAAACTTCCCCCTTTATGTAACATTTTCATAACCAATCAACTGGCCTTGTGCAGTTTTTGGAGGTAATATGGTCACAAGAGAAGCTGATCGCTTGTTATATAACAGTGCAGTGATCATAGCTCAGGAGTTGAAAATCTCTAGCCCATTTCTTTTCCAAATGGCAAATACAAAACAGGAAAACAAGGGCTGAGTGCAAAGGAAGAAAAATAGCTGTGACAGCAGTGTGGGTTTCCACTGCAGCTTTAGGGCAGCACGCACTTAAAAAGGGGTGGTTTTACCAAGGCTACCCTTACTCTATGCGTGTAGAATTGATTCCAACTGGTGCAGAGGTTATGGGACAGGATAGATGGACTCTTTTTATTTTTTTAGGGAAACAGGATGAAAGTCTTGAGTTCCAATTGTTTTACCACTTGGGTTATTCACAAGGTCTGATGGCAATTGTCAATATCTGGGAGAAAAAGAGAGAGAAGGGAGTGTTTGGACTAACCATAGCGAAGAAGCCATGCCAAAGAAATAAAGGAGAAGGAAGACTATGGCACAGCCGGTGCTTTTTAATCCTTCCTGGACCAGAATCGGAACGGCAGTGGCATCCAAGTCACAGGAAACTCGCTCTCTTCCAAGAGTCAACCGTACCTAAAGAGGCAGGGGAAAACAGATGTACCAAAAAAATGTAGTCCAATTAAATAAGAGAAATAAAAAATATAAATAAAAAAAAAACATGGCTTTTTATTCCATTCCTCACCAGGTAAGCAACACTGTACAGATTGCAGCACATTGAAAGAAAGATGATCGGCCTTTCGGGGTATGAGAAACGCTGCGAGTCCAGGAGGAAGGTCAGGACAGTCAGAGTGGTTGACAGGAAGCACAGCACGGCCCACACGGCCATCCAGGCGTCCGTGAAGACCTTTCCCCCCCGTCGGTACAGCCCACTGTCATATCCGCATTGGAGGGCGCAAGTTTCAGTCTGTTTGAGCCAAGTGTACTGTTCAGGTGCAGAGCCCAGTGCCTGACACTCCTCCTGTTGGGGAGGGTGGCGAACAGGTTGGTAGGGGGGGTCTTCATCACCTGGACCCTCCATGCACATGTGGTTGTGGTCATTTAGAGGTGGGAAGAGGCTGCAGTTGAGCTCCTGGTGACATATTAAAGGAAATGTTACACTTTATCCAAACCATTTGTCTTAAAGTTTGCTAAACAACAAACAAAACCTTCTTTTTTTTTTTTTTTTTTTAAAAGAAGACTTTTGAATAGAATATATGAAAATAAAAAGTGTGAGGCACTCACTGCTGCATATTACAACCCAGTTATTTCCTTAAACAAATACATTTTTTGAGTTACTCCAGTCATGCTTTTCTTGGCTAATGATGCTTGCAGCTTCCTTTGAGATCTGATCAGATTCTGATTTCGGCAGAATTGGAAACATGAAGAAAAGTGCTCTTTGGTTCTTTGCTATAGACACTTTTAAATGCAAAAGGTTTTAAAAAATGACCAGTTTGGGATGTGAAAAAAATTTCTTACATCTCAACGTAGTGAGGAAGAAAACAGATAAGCACAATCTCTGAAACTGAATGATGCAAATGGTCGCCGCCTAGCTCCTCCTCCTTCACTTATCGCAGGGTCGACAGTAAGAACTCTATCATTATTAGGAAAGGAAGGAACTTCAGACAAATGTGTTGAATCGGGTAAGACTTCACTCTTCAAGACATCATGCGACAGAAATGCTTAATGATGAAAAAGAACCTACTAAAAAAAAACTACTGTTAGTGCAAGTTAAACGGCTGAAGCTTTCCCTTAGACAAACCAAAACATATGAAGGTGTGCACATTTGCAAGCATTGCACAGAGTACAAGTGAAGAAATTATTTATTTTTCTTCGATTCTACGAGAAGTGCCGTGCCTATACCTGCTGTTATGCATTGGGTTGTGAGAAAACGTATGGTTCCTACGCCCCAGATAGCAACATCAGGAGCTCTCTATGCCAAATGAACTATCAAAAGGAAGCATCCAGCTTCCTTTTCCTACCTCCCTCCTTACTTCCATTCAGACTCATGCACCTATCATGATGACCATTGACACACTTCCAAACTGGTGTATGAGTCCTGATGAATTTAGGTATTATTATGGATCCTGGATGTGAAGGAGAATCCATTCTATGGTTTTCTATAAAATACTCTATTAAATCCGAGGAGCTGTTTTACACTTTATCTGAAATCCTGGAAAAACACTTGTTTTAAACAATGTATAAACTCATCGTATGAGTTGAATAAATGTAACTTTACTGTCCCAAGGCCCTATCCAACTTAAAAACCCAGTTGTCAGCTGTATAAATGTTTCAACCACGTAAAGAATGTCTGCTCCCAACCTCCAGAAAAGGATACAAGCTAGGAAAAAATGATTGAAATAAAAATATGTTACGGTAACTAGTTTTCACTGTTCAGCGTTAGGCAGGTCAGAGGAAACCAATATCTTTTTAAACACATCCTGCAAGCCCCGTCCCCCTAAATTAAAAAAAACATGCACGCTTCCCTCATGACAATGCCACTCACCTCAGGCCATATGAAGCCAAACTCATGGAGAACAGGAAGGCATTTTCTCTTGACGGACAAACACATGCTCTTACACGGCCCAATGGGGATGGGGACCTTATCCGTGCACATTGGCACATAAACGGAGCAAAGGAAGAACTAGAGGCAAGGAAAGACAAGTGGTTATTTGTTTAATATCTTAGTATTTGTATGGGTTGCAAGTTTTTAAAAGATTACATACAACTGTAATATTGTGCAAATTACAGCAAAATCAAATACCCAAGGCTTCAGAATAAGAGTTACATAAAAATGGTCTTCAAGAGAGATTACAAAAAGAGACATTATGCAGAAAAGGTGTAACTTTTATATAAAGATACAGTAAAAACACAGCTTTTTTACTTTATTAGTTTAATTATCATATGAGGTAGCAGTTAAAATATGTTGCTGGGTCCACTCTGTTCATATTGCCTAGATAAGAAGTAGTGGATGGAAACATCCCGCTCTCCCACATGGCTCCTGAATCAAGTTGCATTCCGCTCTTTCTATCTTACTTCTTTCATACACTTTTACTTTTTAGAACCACTGAATCAGTCATAAGTGTAGAATCTCTCTATTTAAGGAACTCAAATGCCAACATATGGATGCTTTTTTAGCAGCATCTTAAAAAAAAGTGAAACTAAAAATAGAACGTACATACATGCATCTGAAGACACTAAGCAGCCCATTATGACTGTGGAGATTGAAGTGATGCAAAAGAAAAGCAACATAGGGGTTACAGAAGTCAGAAATTTTAGGTGATTTCATGCATGCAGAGGAAACGCTTCTGCAAATCGGAGTGTAAAATTGGACAATGCTCATGAAATGAAAATTCATAAAAGAGCAACGAGTAAGTTTCTCTCCACTGACCTAAAAAAAACCACTGCAAATGCCTCTCGGGCTTTGGCAATTTGACTAAGTTAAGTCAAAGTTTCTTGCTGCTTTTTTTAGCTCAAAAATGTCCCAAAACATTAAGTCCAGATAATGGTTACATACTTAGAGCCCAAAGTCTTGGCTAGCAATAGGAAAACGCTCTCCCTTGTAAAAATGTCCAAATATGACCTGAATGCAAAACAGGTGCAAGTATTGGGAAACAAATCCTCTATGTTTTTGCTGTAAAATTGAATTATGCTAGACTTTTTATTGAGTTTGTCTTCTGATAAAGAGACTACTTGCTGTAAAACAGACAGCTGACAAACACATTATGTCAAAATCACGGCTTGGGATTCAAATACCGAATCCATTACCATTTTCTGAGCAACATCTGGGTTAGTCTCCTCTATCAGCAGAATTTGAATCCCTCTAATGACATTTGTCCTAAAATTGATGATATGGTTCCAGTTCTAAGACTGAAAAGACATCACTGGTCACCTTCCCTGTGAAAAGGTCTGTGGGTCTGCTCACTCAACAAAAAGCTTACAAAATTTTATGGGGGGCTATAAAATTACAGGCTTTACAATTGCAGATCCTTCCCACAGTGGGCTATGCATACTCAACTGGTGACAGTAATGTAACACATTCTGGGTGTTTTCCACTGACCGCTTGTAACCTGATCAGTGCCACTTTAATGCTAAAAGCTGCTCAGGTTACCAGTCAGGAAGCCTCCCATTAGAGCAAATGTTAGGTGATACTGTTTCTGCTTCCCCTTCCTCTGTCTTTAGGTGGTACTATCTGTGTTCATCTGTGGCTGTGTGTGAGTGTGAAAGACAGGGAGCATCTAAACTTACAACTGGAGGCAGACAAGTTGATTTTAGTCTGCTGTTCCCTCTAGCCTGGTATTAATGCAGTGGATGCAGATGTGTTTTGCAGAAAATAACAATTTTACTATTATAGATTCAGTTATATTTAAGCTGAAATGCTCTTTTTTATGGCAGACGATATGCAGGGAAAAAAATGTCCTTCTCTATTCAAAACATTAATTTTTATAAAATTCCAGGGAAAAGTGCTTTTAGTTTTCTCTAAACACATGCTCCTCCAAAAAAAAAATGCTGATGTGTATTACCAGATAGATGTCTGGGAAATAGATTAGCTTTTGGAAGTTTGTGTAGAAATATAAAGGCAACAGAGTAGACAGCGCAAACCTCATTTTTAATCTAATGCTTGTTTTAAGCTGCAACTCTGAGTTACTAGATTACTAGTGTTGAATTAAAACTATATTCTTGCTGGTTATTTTTGCAGATTGGTCTGTGTAATTTTTTTTTTTTATCTTCAGACCCTAATGTTCTGATGTTTGTTTTTAGTTATAGTTTTTTAAGGTAGTAAGTTTGATTTTAGTGGAGTCTTGTAAAGAAAAGCTATTCAAAGTAATGTTTAACTAAAGTATGTTGATGTTATTACATTGAAACTGAAGTAAGTTTTTAGTTTAATGCATTTTCCTATTTTTCCATCAGCCATAGACAAGCCAAGCCTGCAGTTCACATCATAAAAAAAAAAATCTAAAGGGGAAAAAAAATGAAAAACACCACTTTCTAGCAATCTACCAATCTGATAGATGCATTTTGAGATCAGTCCCATCTTTTCTGCATGGTCCATGAGTCAAACAAACAGCATTTGTCTTAGGACACTAAAGGCAGCATTGTTAACCAGAGGAGCGTACAGTATATAACTGAAGATCCAGCTGCAGCTGTGTGGGGCATGAACTCAGAATGTCAACAGACACAGAGGGCATTTTCTGTGACATTAACATGACAGATTGGCTAGACAAAAAAAAAAAAGAAGAGGACTAAGGGGAAGCGACTCTTCCATTTACTGTAACAGCTTGGAAATCAATCTTTAACATGCTGATTATTCCTGGCACCATCATGTGCTCTGGGACCACACTCTGTCTCCCTTTGCGCGCACACACAAATATAGCACACTTTCAGCAGGAGCCAGGCTTTTTTTAAGAAGCGGGGCGGCTGCTCCAAAGTGTGACCATGGTTCCCATTCCGCGCCCCGCTTCTGCCACTCAGACCAACCAGAGCATCGCGCCTGGTGCCGCCGTCCGTACCTTGAGCTGGCTGGAGCAGCCGTACTGGATGAGCGGCGTGAACGTGGTCAGCTGCAGCTCGGCGTCCGTCTGCAGAACGTTCCCCACCAGGTTGGGCATCTTGGTGACGTTGTAGCCCAGACCCTGGCACATGCTGATGCGGATCGGGTCGCAGGTCATCTCCTCTTCGTCGTCGCTGAACGCGTCGATGGCCAAGAAGAGCGGACCGACCAAGAGGAGCGAGAGCGCAATCATCATCATCATCAGGAGCGCACCAGGCATTTTCCCCAAGAAAAAAAAAAGTCCCACCACCAGACCCACTGTTATTAATACTAATATCTCCTTAGACTCCAATTAGTTTGGTCGCCTTTGAAACCGAGGCACGTGGGTTTATGGTCAGTCCAGCAGGAGTGCAGCGCGTGTCGTCCCGTGCGTCTTTGAAATTATACCATCCCACTTTAAGCCATCCAGCACAGTTAATTATCCAGGAAACTTCGCTGGTGGTAAAGCATTGAAAAAACTATGTGTTGTAGTTTCCCGCAGCTTGAAAACGCACTCATGTCTGATAAATCCCCGGTTTGTTGCAGCTGTAACATCTACTCAGAGATGACTGCACGGCAGGTCCTGTTTTGCGCCTACTACCTTCAAGCTTCCACTGAAAAACTTTATCGCGTCTATGAAAGCAGACTAGAATTCTGACCATTCACAGCGCGGAAGCTGGGCTCTCCTGACCAATCCACGACCAAGAGGGCGGAGCCTGCATCTAGTCCCCTCCCTTATTCACACTCTGTCACTTCTTTTCTATTTTGTTCATTTTCAATGCTTATTTTTTTTTTTTTGCTGCCACATTTGCTAAGCCAATTTGGATAAAGTGAAACACATCAGAGTAAATATGAAAAGACTGATATATTTCAATTGATATTTCTGAAAATTGTAATAATTTTGGCTCCTCTTAGGAAATTTATTTTGGTTTACTGGCCAGTCAAGAAACTTAGTGGTTTCTGAATTGGGTGTTTTGAAATCAGAAAAGGTACCAAGTTCTGCTTGACAATGAAAATGGAAATTATAAGGGGCTTTAAGCCTTCCAGGCAGATTACTGCGCTGAATTTAAACTGATAAAGCACAGGTTATCAATGTCTAAGCAACAGGTACACATAGTTTTTTTGTTTTTCTTTTGTTTGTTTGTTTTTTGTTTTTCCTGAGGTTAAGTGTTTATAATGTTGTTTGTTTTTGTTTAGAAAAACCTTAACACATAGAATGTGACAGTTCATGTCTCGGAAATATGTGGTAGCTCTCAAAGCTCTGCCTTAAACTGTAACCCATGCCTTGTAAATCACTTGAAAACTTTGCTTTGATGAAAATGGCTTTTCACCCTTTCTTAAGTCTGCTGTGATCCCTGTTTCACTTTCTTCTTAGAATGATTAGAAAAGATAGCCTCTGTATCATAAACATTTAAGGTTCTATATCGTGTTTTTTTAAGTCCTCCAAAGTCAGCTATAGGCATGTATTTTGTCTTTTGCACTACCTAAAAAAATGGGCTATAGCTTCCAAGAGAAGGGAGGTAATCAATGCTCTACGTAACTGTGATAGCAGCATGTTTTCCAGGACAGGGTGGAGAGCTGCTGCTCAGAGAGCAGAATTGAGTGAATGAAGCACAATACCGCATAGTGCATGATTTTGATTAGGAAAAGCATTATAGCATAGGTAAAATGTAGAAAAACAGACCCACCTTCAACAGAGACATTTGTGCTCATTGATTTCATACATGTAAACCATGTTAGCTTCTTTCTATAAAACTAATTGGTATCTGAATTATTAAAACATTTACATTTTTGAGTCCATTTGCAAACGCTGAAATTGCTCAGCTTTAACTAAGTTACTTCATCACTTCTTCATCCTTCCTCCTACTCAAACTACTGGGACACCGAAACCCTTAAGGCTGGTTTATACTCAGAAACCAGGTCGTCTGCGTGTGTGTTGCAGTTAACGCAAATATGCCCCCACCCCTTCCGCAAACACTCTGGTGCACCTCTCCAAAAAACAGGAGGCCTCTGATTGGTCAAATCTACATCCTCTCTACACTATGCGTATTTCCTGTTTGGTACCTTACCGCCATTGTGGAACGCGACTCGTGAAGTTGGACCAGCTAGAAGACAGGTGCGTGAGCACGCTGGTACCCTTTTTCCACCTGGATCCCAGCTCTTTTTCGCCCTCATGTCCCTCCATTGTCGCACAAACTTGCCCCTTGCATTTTTCCACTTCCTCACCGCCTTGGCCGTGTCTAGACCATTAGCTGGTTCGTGATTGTCCCTATTTCGTTGTGGCGCGGAATAACATTGCGCAGACCACGCTTCAATATTAGGCATAAATCAAATCTGTGACAAGCTCACTGAGACACACTGCTGCAGGGAGTATAACCAGCCATTAAGGATGAGGGCTAAAAATGAGGGGCAAGCAGTCCACTAAATATCAGTCGTACTTTAGCCCCTCTCTTATGCCTGGTTAATGCTCAGAAACCAGGTCGTGTGTGTGTGTCGCAGTTAACACCGTTATGCCACCCGCCCTTCCACAGATACTCTGGTGCACCTCCTCAAAATTGTAGGTGACCGCAGTCAGTGCCAAAGATGGTGTCGCAGGGAGGAGAGAAAGGAGGCCTTTAGGCCTCTGATCAATTCTACATCCGCTCTAGTATTTCCTGCTGGGTACCTAATGGCAGAACTCTGGTTGTAGTGCCGCCCACAGTGCCAGGCACACCCTGGTAACTATCCCAGACACTGTACAGGATGCTAGTTTGTAGGACGTATTCGATGGTCTGTTGGTTTGCACCCGAAGCCAAAACAAGCAGCGCCACGGCCAGTCTTTCCGGAAAACTCATGGGTGAACTGTGTGTTTTCAGGTGTTGGATGAGGAGCTGCAGACTGCGAACAAGCTTGTCAAACCGATACACGGACACCCGCAATCCTAGCTAGTTCGTGATTGTCCCTCTTGCATGTGGCATGGAATAACATAGAGCAGACTACACTTAAAATTGGGCATAAATCCAAAATATTTGCATCATACCTGCGACAAGCTAACTGCGACTCACTGCTGTGGGAGTATACAGAGCCATTTATCCTTCTGTAAATGGAAAGTTGTGATATTATCCAGAGCTGTTATTAATAATATTTCTTTATTGTGTTTGTATGCATGCTTTGCCAAAATTGGTATGATTCTATTTAGTTCTTAGTCCCTAATTGTCCTTTAGGACAGCCTGGAACCTCACCACAGGCTCCACTCCCCCTCTCCAATTGCCCCATCAGCTCTAAGGGCTCCTGACATTGTAATTGAAAGTAGGGCCTTAAGTCATGCTGAAGCTTTGGATGTCTGCTTTGCATTGCAATGAATGCACATTCGGGACAGGTTTTTGCTTGGTTGTGGCAACCTGAGAGAATGCCTCTCTCTCTCTTTTTTTTACAGCATGAAACTTGCGTTGAAGAGTGTTGCTTTGGCTTTTCAATGCTATAAGTGGAGTTGGATGGGAAAAGAGCTTAGGGTTTGTTTTGTAAGGGTGGGGAGGCTCAAGGGGTACTTGATTTTTTCCAAGTGTTTCACAAAGTTGTGAGAATCTAAAAGGATGTGACAAACCAAATGAAATTGAGCTTGAGAACTCACCCGGTTTTAAAATGCTCTCAATACTTGAATTTCCACCTGGGACAGACTTGAAGTATGAAGTAATGCATTTACTATTTTTTTACACTCCTTCTGTGAAATCTTTAAAGGGGACATTTAGCTCAGTTAAGGGAAGTTTATTCAAAAGGTTAGAGGCAGTTAATAAATTACCTAAACCAAATCCCTCTCTTGGTTTCTTCTTATATTTTAGGTCCTTATTAGTTGGTCTTCCAGCTTAAAGCTAATGGTTAATCTGACTGGTGTAGGGTGAGAGCAGACTTCTACTTTGAAGGTATTTTTGTGTGAAATGTGATCTTTCCATGTGAAATAAAAACTGGGGACAGGACATATAATAATTTCAACTCAAAGGAACAGTTTCATATAAACCTAAAGTTTTCATATAAATCTAGAAAAAAAATCCAAAAGAGAGCCATAACAAATGCATTTTTATGTTTGTTGTGTGTAATGTTGAGGGGATTGCAAAAATGTGGAATAAGTGTCTAAAATCTAACTTTGTGACCCATTGGAGGAAGTAAACATTGCACATCACCCTGAAGACACACTTTCTCATCCTGAAAAATATGAAAACATCCTGCAGTTGAAATATTTTTATTTAGCAGAGAGAAGTAAAATGGAATGAAATGAACTCGTATACCAATTGTTTTGAGATGTTACATGATTCTAGATTTGGTCTAGAACCCTGTTAGTTTTAGCCTTTAGAAAGTCTCATTTGTATTTGTGTGAAATAAAGATATATTACCTGCTTACAACCTTTCACTTAACAATTCCAAACTATCCCTTTAAAAGCATGGGGAGAGGAACAATCCCAGGCAAATAAACCCCCACTGATGGTTACTTTAACATAATTCTTCGAAAATTAAAACAATATTATAGAACAGATATGGTAGATAGAATAACATAAGGTTCCTGCACTGTGGCGTTAAGAGCCACCCAGAGTGATTGGCAACAGCAATGACTTCCCCACTCTCCCACCCCCACCGCATCGTTCATCAGCACACACATATTCGCATAAACCCCTCCACCTCCCATTTTTGCCCTTCAGTTGAACCTGAGGTCAGGACCTGAAGTAATTAGCACTGAGCTGAAACAATAGAGTATGCTTTTGAGCTGATGGTTATCAAAAGAGGTGTGTGCATGCACATGACCCATGGAGAGAAAATCAGTAGACGTTTAAGATACATAGTTGTAATTTGAGTGATGATCAGCTAAGTTTCTATAGTATTTATCCACCAAAGACACCAGGACACTGTATCCTCCCCTGTTTATTTTTAAATAGTGGTGTGAATAGCCTAGAAGCAGCTTTTAATGAATTGCCATTTTAAAACTAAAGATATATGGCCTTTTTTTCAACACGTGTGTGAAATTAAATGAGAAAGCAAGATCTTTTTAAATTCTTTCAGATCCCTGAGCAATACGTCTGTAAAAATTTTATTTTCTTTCCTATTGTTTACTTGATAAATGAAGAGTGAACACTGCCTTTTTTGTTTCAAAAAAACATGTAAGGTTGAGGCTTTAAAACATGCCAGAACAAACCCACATTTGCAAAATAAGTCATCTGTGAAACATAGGTTTATACAATTCAATTTAGTTTATTTATATAGTGCCAATTCACAAAACATATCATCTCAAGGCCCTTTACAGTTCACCAGATTATACAGTCAAATTGATGAAAAGTTATCTATCTAATAAAACATGTTGATTGCATTGACTCAAAGGCAATCCCTCACACTAAGTATTCTTGTAGCAACAGTGGAGAGGAAAAACTCAATTTTGACGGGAAGAAACCTTCAACTGAACCAGGCTCAGCGTGAGCGACCAACAATCTTTGTAATAGAGGACTTTTCCATAAAAGAGGTTTTCATTAATAACCTGGGACGGCCCCAGAGCCAGTGTCTCAGCTGCTTCTTTTAGAAAATCAGTTAGGACTGGTTCTTGTATAGATCCAGTTTTGTGTTTGACCAAGCGCCAGTTTTGAGCCATATTATTAAGCCACTGCA